TTATATTAAAATTAATATTATAATTACATATGGAATAAACAAAACGTACAGTCAATAACACACTAGAAGATCTATATACAGTGTGTGCAAATGTAGTAAGTTACGCCAACAAGAGCGTACAGGTCACAATGGTGGGTAGTATATGGGGCTTTGGTGACAAAACGGATGGCACTGTGGTGGACTACATCCATTATGCTGAGTAGAGTGTTGGAAGCTATTTTGTCACCGAAGTCAAGGATCGGTAGGATAGTCCGTTTTACCAGGGCATGTTTGGCAGCATGAGTGAAGGAGGCTTTGTTGCGAAATAGGAAGCCGATTCTAGATTTAACTTTGGATTGGAGATGCTTAATGTGAGTCTGGAAGGAAAGTTTACAGTCTAACCAGACACCTAGGTATTTGTAGTTGTCCACATATTCTAAGTCAGACCCGCCCGAGAGTAGTGATTCTAGTCGGGCGGGCGGGTGCAAGCAGTGTTCGATTGAAGAGCATGCATTTAGTTTTACTAGCGTTTAAGAGCAGTTGGAGGCCACGGAAGGAGTGTTGTATGGCATTGAAGCTCGTTTGGAGGTTTGTTAACACAGTGTCCAATGAAGGGCCAGATGTATACAAAATGGTGTCGTCTGCGTAGAGGTGGATCTGAGAGTCACCAGCAGCAAGAGCGACATCATTGATATACACAGAGAATAGTCGGCCCGAGAATTGAAGCCTGTGGCACCCCCATAGAAACTGCCAGAGGTCCAGACAACAGGCCCTCCGATTTGACACATTGAACTCTATCTGAGAGGTAGTTGGTGAACCAGGCGAGGCTGTCACTTGAGAAACCAAGGCTATACGGGGGGGCCAGTATGAAAATGTATGCGCTCACTAACTGTAAGTCGCTCTGGATAAGAGCGTCTGCTAAATGACTTAAATGTAAATGTAAATTTAGTCTGCCAATAAGAATGTGGTGATTGACGGAGTCAAAAGCCTTGGCCAGGTCGATGAAGACGGCTGCACAGTACTGTCTTTTATCGATCGCGGTTATTATATTGTTTAGGACCTTGAGCGTAGCTGAGGTGCACCCATGACCAGCTCGGAAACCAGATTGCATAGCGGAGAAGGTACGGTGGGATTCGAAATGGTCGGTGATCTGTTTGTTAACTTGGCTTTCAAATACTTTCGAAAGGCAGGGCAGGATGGATATAGGTCTGTAACAGTTTGGATCTAGAGTGTCACCCCCTTTGAAGAGGGGGATGACCGCGGCAGCTTTCCAATCTCTGGGGATCTCAGACAATACGAAAGAGAGGTTGAACAGGCTAGTAATAGAGGTTGCGACAATTTTGGCGGCTAATTTTAGAAAGAAAGGGTCCAGATTGTCTAGCCCAGCTGATTTGTAGGGGTCCAGATTTTGCAGCTCTTTCAGGACATCAGCTATCTGAATTTGGGTGAAAGAGAAGCGGGGGGGGCATGGGCAAATTGCAGCAGAGGGTGCAGAGTAGGTGGCCGGGGTAGAGATAGCCAGGTGGAAAGCATGGCCAGCCGTAGCAAAATGCTTATTGAAATTCTCGATTATCGTAGATTTATCGGTGGTGACAGTGTTTCCTAGCCTCAGTGCAGTGGGTAGCTGGGAGGAGGTGCTCTTGTTCTCCATGGACTTTACAGTGTCCCAATTTTTTGGGGAGTTAGTGCTACAGGATGCTAATTTTTGTTTGAAAAAGCTAGCCTTTGCTTTCCTAACTGATTGGGTATATTGGTTCCTGACTTCCCTGAAAAGTTAATAGCCACTAGACAGGGCTGTTCAAACAAGTGCCATGTCAATAATAGCCACTAGACAGGGCTGTTCAAACAAGTGCCTTGTCAATAATTGCCACAATAATTGTTGGGTTTATTAGTGATGCGTGGGTTAACTCATAACCTGCAGCCCCTGTGGTTATATGGAATATGCGGGGTGGACGGGTTTAGGGTCATTCAATATTGTGGCTGAAGGGCGGGTTAGTGGCAGGCAGGTTGAATAAAGAGAAACAATACCTTTAAAAAAATCCATAAATGTATCATTCTTGTGCAATTTATTTAGGCTACATTGAGTTTTTTTTTCATTATTTGAGGATATCTGATATTAGTGCATAAGCCTAAACTTAACTGTACACACGCCAAATAGCCTACACAGCCAATCGCCAAATAATGCTTTTGGGAACAGGCAGAAAGGCAAATATTGCTTTTGGGAACGGACAGAAAAATTCAATACACGGAGGCAAAAAGGACTTTGTCGAAGTTTAATTCAATATGACAAAAAAGTAATGTTTGGAAAAGATTTGGTGAAGTGGTAAAAGAGGATGATAGCAGTCCCGGATATGTCATGTGTGATGATTGTGAGGCGCTATACAAATTCGACAGTCACAAGACCGGACTTCAAATAGGCCTATGGCATGTCAAGGGAACTGTAGCCTACTGTTTAGTCTCCTGAGTGGCGCAGTGGTCTAAGGCACTGCATCGCAGTGCTAGCTGTGCCACTAGAGATCCTGGTTCAAATCCAGGCTCTGTTGTGACCGGGAGGCCCATGGGGCAGCGCACAATTAGGGTAGGGGAGGGAATGGCTGGCAGGGATGTAGCTCAGTTGGTAGAGCATGGTGTTTGCAACGCCAGGGTTATGGGTTCGATTCCCACGGGGGGCCAGTATGAAAAAATAATGTATGCACTCATTAACTGTAAGTCGCTCTGGATAAGAGCATCTGCTAAATGACTAAAATGTAAATGTAGATCGGTTAAATTGAAACTGAAACCTCTCACATAGCCTTAATAATAACTCCTGCAGAATTAAGTATTTATTGCAGTAAAATGATACACCAAATTTAGGCAAAGTTTTTACTTGGGAACAGGAGTGGAGAAATATGATTTATTTCTGCATCTTGAGAGAATACAATGCTCAGTTAGATACAATCTGTAGAGGTGCTGTCTTTATCATAAAATAATAATAAAAGCTGATAGTATTTCAACCACATAAAATATGCATCGAAGCTAAACTGAAATCTTATCAGAAACACGTTGGGTCGTTTTCACAGCTTTATTTTTCCTTACAACTTGTCAAACTGATGTCATTTGGACATTTTGCACAGAAAATCTTTCCCATTTTTTTTTGTTGGGTTATTGTATTTTCTCAGCAGTCCCTACACGTCTTTGCTCCGTGAAAGAAGACAGAGAAAACTTTAGAATTAAGCATTCATTCTATCGATCTATTACATTATTTGTTGAGAAAGGATTTATTTTAGTGCAACATATAATGACAAAGGAGAAGCTACGTGTATAATTATAGACAAGTTGACTAACAAATAGCCTAGAAATTATAAGCAGAAACATATCTAAATCAGGCAACAACAAAAGATCCTTCACCCCTGTCAAAAACTCTTTCTATCGTCTTTGACTGTAGCCTATAACGCATTTTCTATATTTTGCGGGATAGGGTTGGGTGCAGGCCTCAGATTACTTTTTCACATATAGCCGGGGGGTTGCGGATGGGTTTTTAGCACTCGCCATCCGCTGATACGAACAGAAGCAGACGACAATTGTGGGGGTCTATTCTCTTACAACTAGAAGTGATGCCTAGCTTAAAAAGAATACATTAATGATCAAACATAATAGGTTTGTGCTGTACTGATATAGATTGTTTAACATAACAAGCTCTTGACTAATGTGAGGAACCGTTAGGGGGGAGGCTGAGATAGATTTGTGAGACACACACACACTGCCTCTTTGTTAAACCGCTCAAGGACATGTGTACTGCAACAATGAAGAAAAATAAACTATGTCTGTGGTTGCTGACTCTCTAGACAGGTTGCAAAAACAACTAATGCCCGGCAACAGTGACGCGCCAAGAGACTGGGACCAGCCTGTGCGCCAACGATAGGCTGAGTAAGTTTAAACCACGCTCAGCCTCTACTCTGACAGGCCCGCTTTGAGCAGGAACTATCTCTGTCAGAGTATTAAAGAATAACTTTGTGTTTGAGCAGTTAGTTCTCTGTTAGCCCTGTGAGGTGTTACAGTGAGCCCTTATATACGAAGATTGCATTTACCATTTATTCGCTTGACTAATTATATTAATAAAAAAGCTCAGAATATATTCAGTGAATTAGTGTTAAATTCTGTTCTGATACCAGATTCGAATGACGCAACTTAACACAATGCAGAATTGAAACTGAGCGTTAATGTATTTGGGGTGAAGTCCACACGCTCCAGCCAATTGTGTCGAAAATAGGTTCATTCCTCAAGGCTTTGATCAACAGTGTACACTAGCGGCACCTGCAGGTCAAAATAATTTAGAAAAGCCAAATGATTGAACAATGACGTCGAACACGCCGTGGCGCGTGCGCAGTGTAGCCAGAGACAGTACATTATGAAGTAAGGCAGAAAATGCTTCTCCAATAGAAATCCCCGATCACGCTTGTAGGCGACGTTATGGCGACGTTGGCTAGCTAAAGTTATGCGTAGAAATACGTCAACGGGTTCTCGTGCCAAACTGCGCATGTGCAGACTAAAATCAAAGGCACTCCTTCGACATATAAAGTTATTTTGGACGAAAATGAAAACGTGTCAGTTTGTCACTTTCACGAGGTTTGAGTAATAATATGTTCAACTACTTAAGACATTGGCTCGAATCTAGGTTGTGCCTTTAGATGTCGAGATAATTAACAACTAAGGAAGAATGTTTCACTTCTCTCATTGATTTATCTAACGCCAGTCTGCTTCGCAAGCGTTCCCGGAAGTCTAGCGATGTTGCGCCTCTGGGTTTAGAGACTCTGTGGTGCAGCCTTTCTGTCTTCCAGCAAACCACGAAACGAAGTTTAGGACGTCATTGATCACGTGCTTCTGATAAAGAGATATAAACATCCGCACCCTGCTTCGAAATAAACTGCTTAGCGATTTCAACGCATTCCTCGGAGCACCGGATCATCACTACTGAATACCCAACTCTCACTCTCTCTGTCGATTGAAAATGTATAAACTAGAGGCGTTTCGTGTATTTTTAGATGAGCGTTTAACGGCGGCTGCTGTGGAGATTTTCGGGGCAGTGGAGAAAACGGTAGTGGAGTACCAGGAGGAGAATGATCGGCTTCGAATAATGCTGCGGATCACACCGGAGATAAAACTATGTAGAATAGGTTTGTATGTAGATCTACTGATAGCTAGCTATAGTTCTACTCAATTAGTACACTTTTTAGGTAGCCAGCAGATCCGACCAGTTTGCTTTCAGCTGAACTAGGGTCTGACCGCATTCCTGTGTATATTAAAGGAAAGGTTCACCCATTTTGGATGTTATATTGATTTTGTGCATCTCTGAGTGATGTTCTATGGATTCCCTGGGTCATTTTCATGTTTATGTGTATCTGAGTTATTATCAAGCAGGCAGAAATCCGTCCGGTACTTTGTAGCACCGTGCTAAAGTCGCGCTCACTACACTGGAAGTTAATAGCAATACGACTTTTAGATTGCGAAAACGTCTATCATACATGTCATATTTCAATACTGGCCGGTGTCATAACTCGGGACGATGTCTTCTCGCGAATGAGCCATTGATCATATTTTTGCGATAGAAATGTGTAATTTAACAGAGGGTCAAGCACACTTTTCCCATTTGTCTGCCTCTTTAGTCCAGGGTGCATTGCATGGTGCAGTTGCCAGAGATATTATAGAAAGAAGATGGGAATCCAATGAATGAAGGAACGTATAACGCTCCACCAATAGCAGACTGTCGACCAATGGTGTTCACATTGTCATGATGTGTCAAGCGTTTGCTAAGCTAATCGTCATGCAATCCCTTCTCAAATTCAGTGTATATGTCGAGAAATGTGCCTATTGTCCTCGAAGGTACATAATGTCACAATTCCAAAGCTATATGATACAAAAGATAGCAAGTTAATTATCTAACATTTCTGAAAATATTTGTAATGTTGTACTTCTTGTTGACAAAATTCATGCTAATGTTGGGTTTTTGAGCTAGCGCCCAATAGACTCCCATTCACTCCTTGGGAGAGCGCTCCTTGTCCCAGAATCACCCAGAATGCACAGCGCGGCCCATTGACGTAGCATGGGCAACGTTTCCCATCTCCTCCAAAAGTATATCTGCCGTTGTGAATGTCAGACTCCACTCTGTGAGGCACATCAATCTGCAGGTTGAACATGGTGAGATTGTAGACTCCTAAATTGATAGCTGTAAAATCACCTAAACAAACTGCACTAACTAGCTACGTTACATGCTGATATTGTCTTTGGTATTATTGTGTCTACACACAATAATAGCAATAATAATAATAGCTAGCTAGCCAGCCCATAGAGAGAGCATTGCATTGTGGATTTTGTAGTCGACTTGAGCTGCAACAGATTTCCGCAACGATTTTCCATGTTGCTACCAACCTTATTATAACGCCAAAATGAAACATTTGTTCACAAAAAATATTGTTCTCACATATTAGTGTTATTTAACACTGTAAATGAAAGGAATGAGTGGTTTTGGGTGGATTTTTCCTTAAGACACTGCAGCTCGAGATACTGCTCAGAAAAAAATGTACCTCAATCCAGGGATGAGAAATGTATTGTACTCCGAATTGTCCCATTATCCCTCCCAACTGTTACACCGAGAAGATTGAACCACTGCTAGTTTTTAAGTCAATTGCGTTTTCGTCCTCATGCTAACTTAACAGTAGCAACAGCAGCCATTATGGAATGGCACATTGTGTTGAACAACAAAGGAGCTGATTGGCTAACACTGCTATTCCCAAATGGCTGCTGTGGCTTCTGCTACTTAGCATGAAGACGAAAAATTACAGTTTTCCGGATAATGGGACAATTCGGAGTACAACGCATTTCTCATCCCTGGATTGTGCGTTTTCCTATCCATATCTCGCGCTGGCTCCACAGTGTCTTAATCTACACATGAATGCTGTCGGACCCTAGCGCAGCCGTAAGCAAGCGGGTCGGATCTGCTGGCTAACTGTTTAGGCTAACAGTGATTACCATTATGGTGGCAGGTAGCCTGATTAATCAGGCTGTAATACACTATTAATTTGCATATACAGCCTGAAACTAATGACTGCAAAATCCTGTAAAGGTTTCGTACAAGCCAGAAAAACGCATGTCAAAAATGTTATAAATTGATTTGCATTTTAATGAGGGAAATAAGTATTTGACCCCCCCAATCAGAAAGATTTCTGGCTCCCAGGTGTCTTGTATACAGGTAATGAGCTGAGATTAGGAGCACACTCTTAAAGGGAGTGCTCCTAATCTCAGTTTGTTACCTGTATAAAAGACACCTGTCCACAGACGCAATCAATTAATCAGATTCCACTCTCCACCATGGCCAATACCAAAGAGCTCTCCAAGGATGTCAGGGACAAGATTGTAGACCTACACAAGGCTGGAATGTGCTACAAGACCATCGCCAAGCAGCTTGGTGAGAAGGTGACAACAGCTGGTGCGATTATTCGCAAATGGAAGAAACACAAAATAACTGTCAATCTCCCTCTGCCTGGGGCTCCATGCAAGATCTCACCTCGTGGAGTTGCAATGATCATGAGAACGGTGAGGAATCAGCCCAGAACTACACAGGGGGATCTTGTCAATGGTCTCAAGGCAGCTGGGACCATAGTCACCAAGAAAACAATTGGTAACACACTACGCCGTGAAGGACTGAAATCCTGCAGCGCCCGCAAGGTCCCCCTGCTCAAGAAAGCACATATACAGGGCCGTCTGAAGTTTGGCCAGTGAACATCTGAATGATTCAGAGGAGAACTGGGTGAAAGGGTTGTGGTCAGATGAGCTCTTTGGCATCAACTCAACTCGCCGTGTTTGGAGGAGGAGGAATGCTGCCTATGACCCCAAGAACACCATCCCCACAGTCAAACATGGAGGTGGAAACATTATGCTTTGGGGGTGTTTTTCTGCTAAGGGGACAGGACAACTTCATCGCATCAAAGGGATGATGGATGGGGCCATGTACCGTCAAATCTTGGGTGAGAACCTCCTTCCCTCAGCCAGGACATTGAAAATGGGTCGTGGATGGGTATTCCAGCATGACAATGACCCAAAACACACGGCCAAGGCAACAAAGGAGTGGCTCAAGAAGAAGCACATTAAGGTCCTGGAGTGGCCTAGCCAGTCTCCAGACCTTAATCCCATAGAAAATCTGTGGAGGGAGCTGAAGGTTCGAGTTGCCAAACGTCAGCCTCGAAACCTTAAAGACTTGGAGAAGATCTGCAAAGAGGAGTGGAACAAAATCCCTCCTGAGATGTGTGCAAACCTGGTGGCCAACTACAAGAAACATCTGACCTCTGATTGCCAACAAGGGTTTTGCCACCAAGTACTAAGTCATGTTTTGCAGAGGGGTCAAATACTTATTTCCCTCATTAAAATGCAAATCAATTTATAACATTTTTGACATGCGTTTTTCTGGATTTTTGTTGTTGTTATTCTGTCTCTCACTGTTCAAATAAACCTACCGTAAAAATTATAGACTGATCATGTCTTTGTCAGTGGGCAAACGTACAAAATCAGCAGGGGATAAAATACTTTTTCCCTCACTGTATATAGGTCTGACCATAATAAAGAGATGCTCTGCTTTTTTTTTCTTTTTTTTCACTCCACAAAGTAAGTCCTGCAGGCTCTAGTTTTATCTTATCTTGATTATTGTCCAGTCATTTGGTCAAGTGCTGCCAAGAAAGACCTAGTTAAGCTGCAGCTGGCCCAGAACCGCACGTGTTGCTCTTCATTGTAACCAGAGGGCTAATATTAATACTATGCATGCCAGTCTCTCTTGGCTAGGAGTTGAGAAAAGACTGACTGCGTCATTTGCATAGTCAACTTACACACAGCATTGACACACACACACACACTTACCCCACCAGACATGCCACCAGGGGGCTTTTCAGTCCCCAGGTCCAGAACAAATTCAAGGAAACGTACAGTATTATACAGAGCCATGAGTGCATGGAACTTCCTTCCATTTATATAGCGCAAGTGAACAGCAAAACTGGTTTCAAAAACAAATAAAGCAACACCTCACGGCACAACGGATCTCCCCATGTGACCTACTTGTTGTGTGTATGTACTGACATGTATGTGTAACGGATAGATACTCACACACACACACACTGAATGCTGATGTTTTTAAATGTGTAAATTGTAAAGTATTTTGTCTGTAATGTATTTTTCGTTATGTGTCGGACCCCAGTAAGACTAGCTGTCTCCATTGGCATCAGCTAACCTGATTAATCAGACTACCAAGCGGTTAGCGCATTGAGGCAGTAACAGAAAGGTCTGTGCTATCTGGGATCCTTGGGTCGTCCCTACCCCCATTTGAAGTTGACATTTAAAATGGTTAAGTTAAGGGTTATGTTTGAAAGGCACTGGTGTCTTATTAATGAAGGGATTGGATTACGCTGTTCTGGGTTGCGTCGGGCTATGGTCCGTCACGTGACCAGGCGATTGAAGCCGGTGAGGGAGGCGGGCGGTCCCTGCTGAAATAGAACAGTAATCTGCTCCGCTCGGTCATATCGTCAACAACGCAGCATCGCTTTTCCATAAAACAGAGTCCAAAACGTGCTCGGGTCAGCACAGCATTGTTTTAAAAAATATTGATCCGTTAGCCTTCATAGTTTTCTAATTCTCAGCGCGGCTCAAGCAATTTCTCCAACCATCCAAATGAAATGAATAGGAGCCGCCGCGTTGGTTGGGACATTTTAGGAGGCGTGCGGTAGGGCTGTGCAGAGCCGGACAGATATGTCACAACGGGCCGCAGTACTATCGCGGCTCCGTGGCAGTAAAAGGCGCTTTACTCCACCCGGGCTTAATCGAATCCCCTCAATCTCTCGTGGACAGACGACCAAATTACGCAAGATTGTAGTTTTGGGTTAACTGGGATTAGTGTCTTATAAACGTCTGTTTAGTGTCTTATAAACGTCTGTTTAGTGTCTTATAAACGTCTGTTTCTGCAGATGGAACTCGTCTTTTTCTTGTTTTGTTTTGTTTTTTGACAAACAACACATTCAGTAAAAGACTAAACAACACTAACAAACAATTGACAATGGCAAAAAGTGGCGCGCTGTCGTCTACTACATGTGGCTAAAAATGACTAGTTCCAGAAAATATGTTGGGAATTAAAGGCAGAAATACCTTATTTACATAAGTATTCAGACCCTTTGCTATGATACTTGAAATTGAGCTCAGGTGCATCCTGTTTCCATTGATCACCCTTGAGATGTTTATACAACTTGATTGGAGTCCAGCTGTGGTAAATTCAATTGATTAGACATGATTTGGAAAGGCACACACCTGTCTATATAAGGTCCAACAGTTGACAGTGCATGTCAGAGCAAAAACCAAGCCATGAGGTCGAAGGAATTGTCCGTAGAGCTCCGAGACAGGATTGTGTCGAGGCACAGATCTGAGGAAAGGTACCAAAAAAATTATGCAGCATTGAAGGTCCCCAAGAACACAGTGGCCTCCATCATTCTTAAATGGAAGAAGTTTGGAACCACCAAGACTCTTGCTAGAGCTGGCTGCCTGGCCAAACTGAGCAATCGGGGGAGAAGGGCCTTGGTCAGGGAGGGTGACCAAGAACCCGATGGTCACTCTGACAGAGCTCCAGAGTTCCTCTGTGGAGATGGAAGAACCTTCCAGAAGGACAACCATCTCTGCAGCACTCCACCAATCAGGCCTTTATGATAGAGTGGCCAGAAGGAAGCCACTCCTCAGTAAAAGGCACATGACAGCCCGCTTGGAGTTTGCCAAAAGGCACCTAAAGGACTCAGACCATGAGAAACAAGATTCTCTGGTCTGATGAAACCAAGATTGAACTCTTTGGCCTGAATGCCAAGCGTCTGGAGGAAACCTGGGACCATCCCTACGGTGAGCATGGTGGTGGCAGCATCATGCTGCGGGGATGTTTTTCAGCTGCATGGACTGGGAGACTAGTCAGGATCGAGGGAAAGATTAACGGAGCAAAGTACAGAGAGATCCTTGATGAAAACCTGCTCCAGAGCGCTCAGGATCTCAGACTGGGGCGAAGGTTCACCTTCCAACAGGACAATGACCCTAAGCACACAGCCAAGACAATGCAGGAGTGGCTTCGGGACAAGTCTCTGAAGTCCTTGAGTGGCCCAGCGAGAGCCCGGACTTGAACCCGATCTAACATCTCTGGAGAGACCTGAAAATAGCTCCACAGAGCTTGAGAGGATCTGCAAAGAAGAATGGGAGAAACTCCCCAAATACAGGTGTGCCAAGCTTGTAGCGTCATACCCAAGAAGACTCTAGGCTGTAATCGCTCCCAAAGGTGCTTCAACAAAGTACTGAGTAAAGGGTCTGAATACTTATGTAAATGTAATATTTTCGTTTTTTATTTTTAATAAATTTGCAAAAATAAACTAAAAACAGTTTTTGCTTAGTCATTATGGGGTATTGTGTGTAGATTGATGAGGAAAAAATACTATTTAATCAATTTTCGAATAAGGCTGTAATGTAACAAAATGTGGAAAAAGTCAAGGGATCTGAATACTTCCCGAATGCACTGTGGATAACCTCTGCTCCTCCTCTCCTTCCCTCCAGACTCCCTGCAGCTCTCTCTCTCTGTCTCTGAAGAGGAGGTTCCTCCTGAGCAGCAGCACTGTGAGCAGGAGTGGAGCCCCAGTCTGGGGCAGGAGGACCCAAAGCCCACACAGATTAAAGAGGAACAGGAGGAACTCAGGACCAGTCAGGAGGAAGAGCATCTTCAAGGGCTCTTTGATACCAAAGACTCCATATTCACTCCTTCCTGTGTGAAAAGTGAATGTGATCTGGAGGACCCACTTCAAGAAGCCTTACTAGCTGAATACCCAACTCTCAGTCCACTGAAAACGTCTAAACTACAGTCGTTTCGTATGTTTTTAAATGAGCGTTTAACGGCGTTTGCTGCTGTGGAGATTTTCGGGGCAGTTGAGAAAACGGTAGTGGAGTACCAGGAGGAGAATGATCGGCTACGGAGACTGCTGCGGATCACACCAGAGATAAAACTATGTAGAATAGGTTCGTATGAACTGATAGCTAGATACAGTCCTACTCAATTAATTAACTGTTTAGGCTTTCAGTGATCACCATTTCAACCATTTTAAGAAGTATTTTTATTACTTTTACCGTGAATGGATAAAAATACCTCCAATGTGCCAATGCTTTCCCTTGCTTGGACAGCAGTGTCACAAATCTTTCCATTGACGAATGTTGAGTAAAATTCTATTTGAACTTGCTCTGAAGATTTTCTGAGTCATTCAACGTCCATTTTGATAAGCTCAGGACGATGATTTGGTCAAATGTGAAACGGTCTGTCTAGAAACATTTGATCGATTGATTGTGATGTGGATTTTGAAACCTTCATTAATTATCCTCCAAAATAACTTTACAAATACAAAATATACACTTACTGTTAGCTGTTTTACCACAGATTTCCACAGAGGTTTTTGTGTAACATAGCTTCGAGACAATGTTTTTTTGTGGTCCTTCTCGAGTTTCCATTAGCTAAAATTTTAAATGTTATTGTGCACTCAGGCATGTCTAAATAGTGTATTGGTAACCTCTGCTCCTCCTCTCCTTCCCTCCAGACTCCCTGCAGCTCTCTCTCTCTGTCTCTGAAGAGGAGGTTCCCCCCAAGCAGCAGCACTGTGAGCAGGAGTGGAGCCCCAGTCTGGGGCAGGAGGACCCAGAGCCCACACAGATTAAAGAGGAACAGGAGGAACTCAGGACCAGTCAGGAGGAAGAGCAGCTTCAAGGGCTGGAGGCTGATATCATAGAGTTCAAATTTCACTCCTCCCTGTGTGAAAAGTGAATGTGATCAGGAAGGACCCACTTTGGTCCTTGACTGTTCCCCAAACCCAGACTGTGGAGAACCGAGAGAGTGACTCTAAACCAGTGGATTTCAAACCTTTTGGCACTGTGACCCACCTAAAGGGTCTCGACATTTCCTGTGACCCTCCAGATAATCAAAACAATGCCTCAAACCACAGTTCAGCCGTAAGCAGCGACCCAGTAGGACTTGACAGCAGCCCACCATTGGATCCCAGCCCACCATTGAGGAAATGCCATTCCAAACCCAGCACCACGTCTAAAACGACTCACAGCTGCCATGACTGTGGCAAAAGCTTTAGTACCAAGAAGGACCTAACCAGACATAAACTGACTCACACAGGAGAGAAACCATTTAGCTGTGGTGACTGTGGGAAAAGCTTCAGTCAGAAAGGAGACCTAGGGAGGCACATACTGACTCACACAGGAGAGAAACCTTTTAGTTGTGGTGACTGTGGTAAAAGCTTCAATTGCCACTGGCTCCTAACCAGGCATAAACTGACTCACACAGGAGAGAAACCATTTAGCTGTGGTGACTGCGGGAAAAGCTTCAATCAGAAGGGTCACCTGAACTTGCACATACTGACTCACACAGGAGTAAAACCATTTAGCTGTGGTGACTGCGGGAAAAGCTTCAATCAGAAGAGTCACCTGAACTTTCATATACGGACTCACACAGGAGTGAAACCATTTAGCTGTATGGTTTGCGGGAAAAGCTTCAGATACAAGGGCACCCTGGCCGAACATATACAGATTCACAAAGGAGAGAAACGAAATGGCTGCTCAATCTGTGGTAAAAGTTTCACTCATAAAACAAATCTTCTGAGGCATGTGGTTAACGTCCACAAAGGAAGAAAACAGGAAGAAAACTGAAAGAAAAGAACATTATCAAATCAAATCTTATTTGTCACATGAGCCGAATACAACAGGTGTAGACCTTACAGTGAAATACTTACTTACAAGCCCTTAACCAACAATGCAGTTTTAAGAAAAAAAGTGTTATGTAAAAAATAGATAAGTAAAAATTTAAACTAACAAATAATTAAAGAGCAGCAGTAAAATAAAATAAGAGTAGGGAGGCTATATACAGGGGGGTACCGGTACAGAGTCAATGTGCGGTGGCACCGGCTAGTCGAAGTAATTGAGGTAATATGTACATGTAGGTAGAGTTAAAATGACTATGCATAGATAATAAACAGAGTAGCAGCAGCGTAAAAGAGGGGGATGGGGTGGGGGGCAATGCAAATAGTCCGGGTAGCCATGATTAGCTGTTCTGGAGTTTTATGGCTGGGGGGTAGAAGCTGTTAAGAAGTTTTTTTGACCTAGAATTGGCTCTCCGGTACCGCTTGCCGTGCGGTAGCAGAGAGAACAGTCTATGACTAGGGTGGCTGGAGTCTTTGACAATTTTTAGAGCCTTCCTCTGACACTGCCTGGTATAGAGGTCCTGGATGGCAGGAAGCTTGGCCCCAGTGATGTACTGGGCCGTACGCACTACCCTCTGTAGTGCCTTGCCATACCAGGCGAGCAGTTGCCATACCAGGCGGTGATGCAACCGGTCAGGATGCTCTCGATTGTGCAGCTGTCTAACTTTTTGAGGATCTGGGGACCCATGCCAAGTCTTTTCAGTCTCCTGAGTGGGAATAGACTTTGTCGTGCCCTCTTCACGACTGTCTTGGTGTGTTTGGACCATGATAGTTTGTTGGTGATGTGGACACCAAGGAACTTGAAGCTCTCAACCTGTTCCACTACAGCCCCGTCGATGAGAACAAAGATCTTCTGTCAGAAGATGGGAATAACAGGCAGGATGTGGACAACACTCTTAGGAAAGCAAAGCAACTCTGGATCATTCATGCTTTGGGGTTCAAATGAATAGGTGCGTGATGGATTCACTTTTCGTAAAATGTTCTATACATAAAGTTTTATTTGAATAATGAGGTCAATGATCAAATAAATGGTACATAGTGTTGTAGGAAGGTCACAGGTCTGCTGATCAAAGTCGGTTGATGTTTTCACATAAATACAGAAAGGAATTCCATTTGTTTTGTCATTTCTCTCATGGTGATGAATGATGTCTGATATTATTGATACATCAAATAAAATTCCAGGAAAGGTCTCCTTGCTTTTATCCAAGAGTATGTCTCATCAGATTTCACCTAATGCTGCTCATTCATGATATTGATTTAATCTTGTATAGAGTAATGCTATACAGTTGACTCTCAGAATGGATTCTCCCAGATCATCCTAAACCACTGTTTTGTCGACATGTAGTTATCGTTTCCCTTTACTACTGATCTGTAGGCTGCCTTGTAGATTAATAAACCCCCATCCAGCTGGCGGCGCTGTTGTGCGTTTCTGGGTTCGCCACCCACTACAACCAATATTATTTTGTTAATTATTTGACTAGATCACGGAAGTAGAATGTTTCCACTAGTTACCACAGCCACAAAGCAAAGAATGGCTATATCGTAAAGATTCATGATAACAATTTAAGATTAGGTTTAGGCATAAGGTTAGCAGTGTGGTTAAGGTTAGGGTTAGGTTTAAAATCACATTTGAAGGCGATAAATTGCAGAAATGGGCGGGGTTTATGACTTTATGGCTGCGGTAACTAGTGACAACCACTTTGTTTTGATTTTTCCTTCCTTGTGTGGAGTAAAGAAACACATACTGACTGTACTAAATAGGCTACCAAACTCTCATTCGACTGAAAATGTCTAAACTACAGTTGTTGCATGTATTTGTTTTTTCCCTTTTTATTGTAGCCCCTGATGAGTTGAATGAGGGCTACAACGAAAATGTGTACGGTTGGTGGTACTTGAGGACCAGAGTTGGGAAACGCTGCCCCAGCGCAATAGAGTACCACAGTATGAGTCATAATACCGATAAAACCTAGCGGTCAAACAAGGAAATGGTTCAGGAAGGTAGGAAAAGTTGGCGGAGGCGGACGATGAAGTGGATTGTGAATCTAATGGCGGTAGAATCAAGGAGGATTGGAGTATTGTTCAAAAGAATGGAAAACGGAGCAAAGTGGGGTGAGAATGTCCCTATATATCTTGTAGGAGTAAGGTTTGTTATTGAGGAGCAGCTTATCGAAATACCAATCTTGAAGAATCCATTTGAGCTATCCAACCTGGTGGAGAGAGTGATGGGTAAAGTGAAGGATGTGAGGATCGCGAGAGGCGGGTGAAAAGTTTGACGTGTCGTGTGTGTCTCTTCGGAACAGAGCACCCCTCAAGGGAGTAATATCTGGCGTCTCGTGGGAAGTCTATGTTAAAGAGATAAAAAAATATTCCTGGAGTGATTGATGCACGTCGGAGGATTCTAGTGGTGATTGATGAAAAAGTGAAGAGTTTATATGTTCTTTAGTTTTTTGATATGGAGTCTCTCCGTACTCAAGTGCAAATGGGGTATATAAACTACAAAGTCAGAGCATTTATCCCAAGACCAGTGCAGTGTGATCATTGTAAAGCTTTTGGTCATGTGTCAAGGGTTTGCAGAAGGTAGAAACCGAGATGTCCAAGTTGTGGAAAATATCATTTAATGTGTTATAAAAGTGACGAAAAAGTGAAATGATGTAATTGTGGTGGGAACCATGAAGCCACGTCTTCTGAATGCCCGACAAGGGAGGAAGAAAATGAGGTGGCCAAAGTCAGGGTTGTACAGTCGTGGTCAAAAGTTTTGAGAATGACACAAATACTAATTTTCAAAGTCTGCTGCCTCAGTTTTGATGATGGCAATTTGCATATACTCCAGAATGTCATGAAGAGTGATCAGATGAATTGCAATTAATTGCAAAGTCCCTCTTTGCCATGAAAATTAACTTAATCCCAAAAAAACATTTCCACTGCATTTCAGCCCTGCCACAAAAGGACCAGCTGCCATCATGTCAGTGATTCTCTCGTTAACACAGGTGAGAGTGTTGACCAGGACAAGGCTGGAGATCACTCTGTCATGCTGATTGAGATAGAATAACAGACTGGAAACTTTAAAAGGAGGGTGGTGCTTGAAATCATTGTTCTTCCTCTGTTAACCATGGTTACCTGCAAGGAAACGCGTGCCGTCATCATTGCTTTGCACAAAAAGGGCTTCACAGGCAAGGATATTGCTGCTAGTAAGATTGCACCTAAATCAACCATTTATCGGATCATCAAGAACTTCAAGGAGAGTGGTTCAATTGTTGTGAAGAAGG